GACGTTTGTCCGATTTTCCGATATCTCTGGAAACAAAATGTAACATTGAATGGTGGGGAAGTAGAATCAATGAAGAGAGAGAGAGGAAGTATCATTGCCAGTTTTTTCGATAGGGTGTGTGTAAATCTCGTTAGATAAAAACCGTTCGAGTGATAAAGAACAGGATATATATTCAATTGTTTCTTTTGTCTAAACAGTGAATGCAATTGTTTCCCGAACGAACAAAGGAAAGAANANGGGTGTCGTTCTATTAGAGGTTTTACGGTATTTTTCGTAGATTTTCAGATCAAAATAAGCCAATTTTCACAATTTTTGGGTCATTTTGGCTCATTTGACAGCACTTTTCAGCTCAAAATTGCTCATTTTTCACAGATTTTGGCTCAAAATTAGCCGATTTTCGTGATTTTTGGGTCATTTTGGCGCCATTTTCAGCGTTTTGCAAACGATAGTTTGACCATTTTCAGCCTATTTTCAGCCAAAAAGAATGTCTGAAAAAACAGCTGCTACCTGAAGAAGAAGAAAAAAACGAATCACCTGAAAACTGGAGAGAAGGAAGCTCACGTGATTTTCTTTTTTTTTTCAAAAAAGCGAGAGATTATCTGAAATTGAGGAGACGCCGAGAAAAAGAGAGATGGAGTGTAAAGTTCCCCTTTCTGAAAGAGAGAAGATCATCGAGGTGTTATTATTATTTTTTTTTTTGTCTTTTTTTTTTTGAAATTTTCGGGTTGGCAGCTGTTCCAGATGATAGCTGAAAATGATTGAAAAATGGCTGAAAATCTGGAATTTTCAGCATTTTTTGGACTTTTCAGCCAAATTTTTTTCTTGATTTTTCGATCATTTTCAGCAATTTGGAGCCCAAATTCAGCGGTTTCTAGACAACCGGACAATACTTCTCAGTCTCAAACCACTAGTCCATTTTCAGCCATTTTTTTTTGACTATTTCCTTGTGATTTTCAGCCAATTTCAGCCTATTTTGACAAAATTTTCAAGTCAAAAATATGAATTGCAGAGTTTTTAACCCCATTTTTGACCATTTTCTAGCGATTTTCAGCCACTTTTTAGCCTTTTCTTAAATTCCAGATCACATGTCGCCGTTACAATGGTCAAAAGTACAGCTCCTCGTTTGGATTCGTTCGAAAGATCTATCAGCTGAAGTGTCTGGAAACGTGTCCGTCGGAAGTCGCAGCCCATCTGGTTAACCGGAATTTGGCCATCGTTTCGTATTCCTATCGAAATACCGGGTTTCCCACTTTTGTAAGTCCCAAAATGACCTGAAAATCTGAAATTTTGAGCTAAATTGTCTCAAAAATCATGAATTTCAGCTAGAAGTTGGTCTGGAAACGGGATTTTCAGTCAAAAATAAGCAAAAGATCTGAACTTTCGGCTGAAAATCACCCCAAACATCGAGATTTTGGGCCAACAATCAACAAGAAATTTGAAATTTTGACTGAAAATTAACCCGAAAATCGAAAATTTCAGCCAAAAATCAACGAAAAATCTGAAATTTCGGCTGAAAATAACTCCAAAAATTGAGGTTTTGAGCCAATAATCACCGAAAAATCTAAAATTTTGAGCTAAAATGACCAAAAAATCGTGAATTCCAGCTAGAAATTCGTCTGGAAACGGGATTTTCATCCAAAAACTATTCAAAAATCGAGAATTTCGGTCAAAAGCTGCCCTAAAAATTGAAATTTTCAAGCATTTTCGGTGGGAAATGACCAAAAATCTGAAATTTTGACTGAAAATTGACCCAAAAATCGTGAATTTCAGCTCAAAATATGTCTGAAATTGTCTAAAAAAATCGATTTTCATGAATTTTGAAGCTGAAAAAGCTGAAAAATCAATTTTCCAGCATGAAAATTGTTAATTTTGAGTCCAAAACATGAATTTCAGATCAAAAAATCGGTCTGAAAATGATTTTTCGAGCCAAAAACTGCAATTTTCATATGAAAATTATGCTGAAAATCGGGGGGTTTTTGACAAATATATCTGAAAATCGTATTTTCAGGTTTAAAATTGCTTAAAAATTGAATTTTTGACCGATTTTAAGCCGAACATCTAGCTGAAAATCACATTTTCGGCTGAAAAAAACCAAAATTTTGGCTCATTTTTAGTCAAAAATGGGATTTTCAGACCCAAAAATCTCTAAAATCGATTTTCTTCACAGATCGAACAACCCGTCGTCGTCGTCGACGATCATCATCACCATCACGGAAAGCTGAGCAATAATAATCGAGACGAGTTGTTGGGAGAGGAGGTTGAAGTGTGAGTTTGAGAGAGAAAAAGTGCATTTTTGCCTGAAAATATTTTGGCTGAAAAAATCGATTTTTGGAGTATTTTCAAGCCTAGAAACGCTGGAAAATCGATTTTTGTGCGCTGAAATCTGAAATTCTCAGCTCGAAATCTCATTTTTTTTAGCTAAAAATCTATTTTCTAGCACTGTTTGACCCCGAAAACGGTAGATTTTTAGCTATTTTCAGCTAGAAATTTGGTTTTTTGGCTGAAAAATCGATTTTTGACACTTTCAAATTGAAATTTCCGGCAAAAAACGAGCGATTTTGGCTGATTTTTGTTCATTTTCAGTCAATTTTCATCAATTTTTGTATTTTTTTTGCTGGGAAAACTGAATTTTTGACTCAAAAATTGCAATTTTCAGTCAATATTCAGCTAGAAAAGTCGATTTTTCAGACATTTTAGACCCTAAAAATCGAAATTTTCAGCCATTTTTGCTAGGAAAACTCAATTTTTGACTCAAAAATCGCCATTTTCAACAAATTTTCATCCTTAAAAGTCAATTTTCAGTCATTTTTGACTCTAAAAATGGCAATTTTCAGCCAAAAATTGTTCATTTCCTCTATTTTCAGTGTGACTGGAGACGTGATATTCAATGACGAAGACGGTGGTGCTGAAATGCAGCGAATGGTGGAGATAATGGAGAAAAAGAAGAAGGAGAACGGGCAGAGACTCATGGATTTGTTGGCACGCATGCATCGATTCAATGATTACTGTAAAAAGGTGAGTTTTTGGCTGAAAATGGCTGAAAATCGGCTCAACATGTCCCAAAAATCATTGAAAACGGCCCGAAATAGCTCAAAATAGGCCTAAAATCGGCCTAAATCAAGCCGAAATAGGCCTAAAACGCCTAAAATTGGCTTCAAATTGTCCAAAATAGACGTGAAATATGCCTTAAAATATGCTTAAAAAGGCTTAGACTTGGCTTAAAATGCCTGAAATTTGGCCTGGAATATGCCTACAAAGCCTGAAATTTGCCTGAAAAAGCCTCAAATTGGTCTAAAAATGCCTAAAATTGGCTGAAAATGCCAAAAATTGAGCTAAAAATGCCTGAAATAGGCTTAAAATGCCTGAAATTTGCCTTAAAAACGCCTAAAATGGCTAAAAATGCCTGAAATTCGTCTAAAATAGGCTCAAAATAGGCTTAAAATTGCTAAAATTGACTCAAATTAGCTGAAAATAAGCCTAAAATAGACTTCTAATATGCCTAGAAATGCCTGAAATTTCTCTAAAATTGCAACAATTGGCTTAAAATATGCCTGAATTGCCTTAAAATGCCTGAAATTTGCCTAAAATAGGCCTTAGATCGGCTAAAAATGCCTAAAATTGACCTAAATTTTGCCTAAAAATGCCTAAAATTCTAATTTCAGGAAGGCTGGCTATCGACGAATTCCGAAATCCAGGAACTACTACAAATCGGAGCCATTCTGGAGACGTCGATTCAATAATTTATTGATTTATCGATTTTTCTGAAAATTTGAATTTTTTGATTTTTCTGAAATTTTCAAAAAAAAATTTTTTTTATTAATTTCTTCATTTTTTGTCGATTTTCTATTGCGTTCTTTCCAATACGCTAATCTGATATCTTTGATTTTTTATCTTCAGATTTTTATTGATTTTTTAGCTGAAAATCCATTTTTGGCTGAAAATTAGCAAATTTTTCAAAATTTCAGCTAGGATATCGATATGACCACGCCAAGCCGTAGACGTTTGATGAGAGATTTCAAGAAGCTTCAGGTGATTTTTTATGAAAAAATCTGAAAATTTTAAATTTGGCTGAAAATCTGAATTTTTTTTTCGATTTTTCTGGATTTTCCAATGTTTTTAGACCAAAAATGGCCTAAAAATCGAGATTTTCATGAAATTTCAGTCCCAGAAAGTCTGAAATTTTTTGGCTGGAAATCTGAAAAATCTGAAAATTTAAAATTGTCGATTTTTTTTTGATTTTTTAGCGATTTCCAGCATTTTTAGACGGTTTTCAGCAATTTTCAGAAGTTTTCAACTTGATTTTCAGATATTTTCAGACTTTCAGCCAAAAATTGTTTTGGCTGAAACCTTTTTTTTTCGATTTTTCTGGATTTTTCAATGTTTTTAGACATAAAAGCTGAAAATCAGAATCACCGCAAAATTTTGCTCTAGAAAAGCTGAAACTAGGCTCCACCCCTTTTTTTCTTGAAAATCGATTTTTGGGATTTCCATTTTTTAGGCCCCGCCCCATTTTTTGGCGCTGAAAAATCAGAATTTCGACCATATCGCTCATTTTCTGGGAAAAAATTGCCTAGAATCAGTCCAAAAATGTCAGAAATGGATAGATTGCTCAGCATTAATTTTAGCAATTTTTACCACAAAAATGGAGTTAAAATGGTCCAAAATAGCTGAAAATAGAGCTAAATAGGCTAAAAATGGTCAAAAAACCTCATTTTGGTTCTAAACCGGTCGATTGCTCATTCTTAGGTTTACCACTAAATTAGCGCTGAAAATGATTCAAAATAGCTTAAATTTGGCTCAAAATGACCAAAAATTGACCCTAATCCCCAAATTCTGGCCAATTTTCGAAAGCTACAGATTGCTCAGCATTAGTTTTAGCACAGAAATAATTATAACTGAAAAGTGGCTTAAAATAGGCCTAAAATGCCCCTAAAAAGGCCGAAAATGGTCCAAAATAGCTGAAAATAGGTCTAAATTGGTCTGAAAACGCTCAAAAATGACCGAAAATTGGCCTAAAACTGCAAATTCCCTGATTGCTCATCCTTATTTTTTGCAGGAAGACCCACCAGCAGGCGTGTCGGGAGCCCCAACAGAAGACAACATTCTCCAATGGGAAGCGATCATTTTCGGACCCCAGGAGACGCCATTCGAGGACGGTACCTTTAAATTATCGCTGGAATTCTCCGAAGAGTACCCGAATAAGCCGCCGACGGTGAAATTTATCTCCAAAATGTTCCATCCCAATGTCTACGCTGACGGTTCGATTTGTCTCGACATTCTTCAGGTAAATACCTCTTTTTTGACTGAAAAATGGGTTTAAAGTGTTCAAAATAGACTTTAAACGATTAAAATTGCTGAAAAATGCTCCAAAAATGAGCCAAACTAAGCCAAAATTGGCCTAAAACGGCTGAAAATGGCCTAAAATCGAAAATTTTCAAAATGGTCCGATTCTGATAAAAATTGATATGACGGCCTAAAATGGTCTGAAAATCAATATTCCGAAAAAAAATTTCCAAAATTTCAAAAATTGAAAAAAAATTTTTTTTGAAAAATTCTAGAAAAAAATTTTTTTCGAAAAATTTCAAAATGGTCCAATTTTGATAAACATTGATATGACGGCCTGAAATGGTCTAAAAATCAATATTCTGAAAAATTCAAATATTCCAAAAATTGAAAAAAATTTTTTTTTTTCAATTTTTGGAATTTTCTTTAAAAAATTTCAGAATATTGATTTTTAGACCATTTTAGGCCGTCATATCGATTTTTATCGAAATTGGAAAACTTTGCAATTTTTCGATTTCAGGCCATTTTCAGCCGTTTTAGGCCTATTTTGGGCCATTTTGATTCATTTTCCGAGAATTTTCCAGCAAATTCAAGCTTTTAAGGTCTAGTTCGGACTGTTTGAACCCTGAATGGCTAAATTTCGTCATTTTTTAGGCTTTTTGGACCGTTTTAAGCTTGATTTTCAGCCAAAAACATAGCCCTGAAATTATCGATTTTTTTTCCATTTCCAGAACCGATGGTCTCCAACATATGACGTGGCGGCAATCCTGACGTCGATTCAATCCTTGCTGGACGAGCCGAATCCCAACTCGCCGGCGAATTCGCTCGCCGCCCAACTCTACCAGGAGAATCGACGAGAGTACGAGAAACGGGTTCAGCAGATTGTCGAGCAGGTGAGATTTCGGCTGAAAATGCTGAAAATTTGTCTGAAAACATCATGAGTACAATTTGACTGAAATTTTGGCTGAAATTCTCCTAAAAATGAGCAATTTCAGCTCATTTTAGGCCTATTTTTGTCTGAAAATGCTCAAAAATCGGCCAAAACGCCTCTTTTTCCTGAAAATTTTGACTGGAAATTTGCCTGAAAATTGGCTGAAAATGAGCCAAAATGAGTCAAATTGCTTGAAAATGGCTGAAAATGGCCGAAAATCGTCCAGTATGGCTCTTTTTCTTAGAATTTGGCTGAAAATGAGCAATTTGAGCCGATTTTAGGCGAATTTAAACCATTTTAAGCTGAAAATTCGGCTGAAATTTTGCCAAAATGAGCTGAAAATGCTCAAAAATCGTCCAGAATGGCTTTTTTTAAAGAATTTGGCTAAAAATTTGGCTGAAAATTGCTAAAAATAGGCTTAAAATCGGCTGAAAATCGTCCGAAATTGCTCGTTTTTTTTTCAAGAATTTAGCTGAAAATTTGACTGAAATTTTGAAGAAGTGAATTTTCAGAAAAAATTTCAGATTTTTTCTCGATTTTCAGACTAAAATCGGCTGAAAATGGCTCTTTTTCTTAGAATTTGGCTGAAAATTTGACCGAAATTTTGCCAAAATGAGCTAAAAGGAGCAAAAAACGTCCAGAATGACTTTTTTCTGGAATTTGACTGAAAATTTGGCTGTAATTTGGCTGTAAATGGTCAAAAATAGGCTTAAAATCGGCTGAAAATCGTCCAAAATGGCTCATTCTCTCTGGATTTTTTTTTGAAATTTCAGCCAATTTTCAAAGCTAAATGGTTACGAGAAATTATACAGACGATTTTCAGCTTCAAAAAATGTCTGAAAATTCGGCTGAAAATAGGCTTAAATTGCTCAATTTTCCTCAAATTTTAAAAAAATATCGATTTTTGCAGTCATGGCTCAATTTCGGCGAGAACGAGGGCGACGCGGTGATGAAGGACGGCGGTGGTGACGTGGATCCCGAAGAGATTCCAACCTCAAATGGATCTTCCGGAGGGGGCGGAGCCTCGGCTGCCGCCGACGACGACGAGCGTATGGATGAGGGCGGAGCCAGCGGATCGAATGCATAAATAATCGATAATTGATCATTCGCATCTGTTAATTTCTTTTGTCTTTTTTGGAAATTTTTGATTTTTGAAAAAAATTTTTTTTTGGCTGAAAATTTGAAAATTTGTCTGAAAATCTGAAAAAATTGTTTTTCGATTTTTCTGAAACTTTCGATCATTTTCGACGGAAAATCGCCTGAAAATCGAGTTTTCCACGAAATTTCGATCTAGAAATGCTGAAATTCTGGCTGGAAATCTGAAAATTTGGCTGAAAATCGAAAAAAGCTGAAGTCTTAAAATTTTTCGATTTTTCGATTTTTTTTTGCTGTTTTCCGCATTTTTAGACGGTTTTCAGCGATTTTCAGAAGGTTTTTTCGAGCTTTTTCGACTGAAAGTGAGCTGAAAATCGAGATTTTCACGAAATTTTGATATAGAAAATGAGATTTTCAGACAAAATTTTGATTTTCAGAAATTTCAAAAATTCAAAAAAAATTTTTTTTTCAAAATTTTTAATTTTCTCTCTCTCTTTCCTCTTTAGAATCAAAAAATTTGAAATTTCAAATTTTTTCGCTTTTTCTCTGCGTCTCTCTCTCTCTGTCTCTTTCTCTCGATCCCGCCCACACCCTCTCGTCTCCCTTTAAAGAATACGGTAGTTTTTCGATGTTTTTTCGTTTCGTCCTCTTGTGTATATATATTCTATTTGGCGCTGAAAAAATTGGCTGAAAATTTTTCTTGCTGAAATTTGTCTGAAAATTCCAGAAAAAATGAGCAATTTCGGACCATTTTCAGTGCTGAAAACCATCTCTAAATTGACACTATTTCTTCGTTTTTTTTTTGTGTCCGAAATTAAGCCCCGCCCACAATCACAATCACCCCACCCAGTTTCATTTTTCTGTCTCTTTTAAACCCATGTTAAAAAAAACAATAAATGTCCAATCAATGCCAACAAAAAAGGGGCGGAGCCTATTTGGGATCAATGAAATTAGAAGAAAAAATAGGAAGAAGGGGCGGAGCCTAATTTAGAATACTGTAACTCTCATCATTTTTTTAGTGATAATTTCAACTTTGTTCCAAGTTATCTTGGTTCTTGTTAAATATATGAACCCAAATTGGCTGCTTGATAAGGGACACCTTCTAATACAGGATTCAAAAC